AGGCACGTACTCTGACGGGAACTGAACCGTGACCTCCTGGATCATAGGTGGACACTCCATCACTGGGCCACGCCAGCGGGCTGAGTATCCTTTTTAAAAAATATATTTTACTGATTTTTTACCAAGAGGAAAGGAAAGGGATAGAGAGCTAGAAACATCGATGAGAGAGAAACATCCATCAGCTGCCTCCTGCACACACACACCCTCTGGGGATGTGCCCGCAACCAAAGTACATGCCCCTGACCAGAATCGAACCTGGGACCCTTGAGTCTACAGGCCGACGCTTTATCCACTGAGCCAAACCGGTTAGGGCAGAGTCTCCTTTTTAAAACAAAGAAAAGCGATCCTGACTCGCCCTCACGTGGTATTTGCCTGACCTGTGGCACACACCCACGTTTACAGCAACCTCTGGCGGGGGCAGGGAACCACGATACTTGGCAGACTGTACTCAGACCCCACTCCTAGGGCTTCCCCTCAGCACGGGCTATCAGAGAAAGGTGACTGCTGACCAAATTGATTAGGGTGTATTTTGGGGACACCACCCAGGCTCCCTCCTGTAGAGAGAGAAAAAAAACAAAAAACAGTTCTCGCCGAAACCGGTTTGGCTCAATGGAAAGAGCGTCGGCTTGGGGACTGAAAGGTCCAGGGTTCGATTCCGGTCAAGAGCATGTACTTTGGTTGCGGGCATATCCCCAGTGGGGGTGTGCAAGAGGCAGCTGATCGATGACTCTCTCATCGATGTTTATAACTCTCTATCTCTCTCCCTTCCTCTCTGTACAAAATCAATAAAATATATTTAAAAAAAAACAAACAATTCTCCTTCCTTTTCACACGGGACCCCACTCCAAGCAGATCCACAATTTAACTCAGTTCGGACACTAAGGAGACGGGCCCCGTCCCACAAACCTCTCCCCTCTCCAGGGCTGGTGGCAGCCCAGGTCGCCTCCTGCACGTGTGACCCACCTGTGATACGTGAAAGGCTCCCGCGCTCCTGCTTCAGGGTGGAGGACCCTGCTGGAGACAGGGAGGGTGCAGATGCACATCCAGATGGCCACGCACAGGGCAGGGTGTGTGGGCAGAGCCGCCATGCCTTCCCGGGCACACCACTCTCCCCGCACCTGTACCTGTTCACCAACCCAGAGGCTCTCTGAACGTCACACCTGAAGGATTTTTACGGCGGCTTCACCACGCAGGCATGACCGGTCATTAACTTCCCTGTTCCCTTCTTCCTTCTCATTAGCACGGGGTTGAGGGGGGACGGTGGGGGGGGGGGGGGAACAGAGCTGAAAATTCCAAGCTTCCTTCTAACCAAGGCTTGGTCTTTTAGGTGACCAGCTCTCACCGGGGAGCCATCCAGGAGCTCAAAGTCACTTCATTGGGACACCCCCATCACCCAAGGAATGATAAGGTTTTCAAGCACACTGTGCGGGGAACGGGGGGCAAAGACCAAATATATGTGCCTATTACCTCATGGAATGACAAGGAGTAAACAACCAGCAAGGTCTGCAAGATCCCGAGACTTCAAAAACTCAGGAGCGCCGAAACTGGTTTGGCTCAGTGGATAGAGCGTCTGTCTGCGGACTGAAAGGTCCCAGGTTCGATTCCGGTCAAGGGCATGTACTTGGGTTGCGGGCACATCCCCAGTGGGGGTTGTGCAAGAGGCAGCTGATCGATGGTTCTCTCTCATTGATGTTTCTAACTCTCTATCCCTCTCTCTTTCTCTCTGTAAAAAATCAATAAAATATATATTTTTTAAAAAACACAATAAAACAAAACCCAAGAGCACTTGCCCTGGCCGATGACTCATTGATCAGAGCATCGTCTCATGCACGTACCTGGGTTGTGAGCTAGATCTTGGGTTGGGGTGCATGTGGGAGGCAACCGATTGATGTTGCTCTCTCACATCAATGTTTCTCTCTCTCTCTCTCTCTCTCTCTCTCTCTCTCTCTCTCTCTCTCTCTCTCTCTCCTTCTTCTTCTTCTTCTTCTCTCTCTAAAATCAACAAGCAAGCCAAAACCAGTTTGGCTCAGTAGATAGAGCATTGGCCTGTGGACTCAAAGATCCCAGTTCAATTCCAGTCAAGGGCATGTACCTTGGTTGCGGGCACATCCCCAGTAGGGGGTGTGCAGTAGGCAGCTGATCGATGTTTTTCTCTTGTCAGTGTTTCTAACTCTCTCTCCCTCTCCCTTCCTCTCTGTAAAAAATCAATAAAATATATTTAAATAAATAAATAAAATAAACAAACATACCTTTGGTTGGGTGAGGATGTAAAGACGCTCAGGAATAGTAACTCATGGTGTGCAGCCCACTCCCTCCCCCTCCCCTGTCTCCCCCATAGCAGGCCCAGCAGCTGCCTCCCCAATAGCATTTCTGAGAAGGCTGATGTCATCTCTGGCCCGGCAATAGGGGGAGCCTTTGGCTCGTGTCTCACTTAATCCGCAGCAGCTCAGCCCCTGGCCATGGATACTGGTTCCGTGATAGGCAAGGGGCATCGTCTGGACCGATGAGGCACATTGAGAGATTTATCTTTCTTTCTTCCTTTCTTTCTTTCTTTCTTTTTTTTAAAAATATATTTTATTGATTTTTTTACAGAGAGGAAGGGAGAGAGATAGAGAGCTAGAAAGTCGATGAGAGAGAAACATCGACCAACTGCCTCTTGCACAACCCCTACCGGGGATGTGCCCGCAACCAAAGTACATGTCCTTGACCGGAATCGAACCTGGGACCTTTCAGTCCACAGACCGACGCTCCACCACTGAGCCAAACCGGTTTCAGCTCTTTTTTTTTTTTTTTTTTTTTTTTTTTTTAATATATTTCATTGCTTTTTTACAGAGAGGAAGAAAGAGGGATAGAGAGCTAGAAACATCGATGAGAGAGAATCATGGATCAGCTGCCTCTTGCACAACCCCCACTGGGGATGTGCCCACAACCAAGGTACATACCCTTGATGGGAATCGAACACAGGACCTTTCAGTCCACAGACCGACGCTCTACCCACTGAGCCAAACCGGTTTCGGCTGAAAGGTTTTTCTAGAGGCTCCTGGAGGGAAATATTTGCCCTCTGTCCTGAGGGATCTCTTCTCTCCCTTCCTCCCTTCCCACCTCAGGCTCTTCCCGTCTATTTGTCTGTCTGTCCCTCTCTCTGCCCCTTCTGAATGTGAAGAAAAAGTGTGGCCCCAGGGGTGTTTGCCAGCCATCGTGCCACCTGAGGGAAGACGCTTATCCTTAGGACAGAGATGGACAGACCGTGCTGCAGCCAGCCACGCCTGAGGCCTCTTTTATGTGTGAAACGATGATTCTCTTTCCCTTAAGCCAGCTGGGGTGGGTGAACTGCACCTGCGTGAACACCTGCCAGATAAGGTACCCGGAGTGGGATGGGGACAGGACCCCCACGCTCACGGTGTCCTCGAGCGGAAAAAATGGTGGGCTCCAAAGAAGAGAGATGAGAACACCCTGCAGCTGGAGTAAGAGTCATTGGTGAGCGCCGTGTGCAAGAGACCTGTAGATTCTTGAGAGTTGTCTTTGCCCCCCATCGCCAGGTGAGATGCCTCTCTCTGCCTGTCCTAACACGCAGCCTTGGAAGGGTTCGAGATGACCCTGCCTGGCCACCTCTCTCCCCAGTTCCAGAAGGACAGACGGAGGATGGGGAAGGAAGGGAATCAGCCGGGGCTGTGACACATAGGCTGGCGGGAGGTTTGGTCCAGAGGACAGAGAGCTGGGCCTGGGGACACAGAGGATGCTGGGAGCTGGGAGCTGGGCCTGAGGACAGGAAGGATGTCTGTGGTTGAAGCCCCGCGGTGTGCCCGGATATGGAGCATCGTGGTCGTGATGGCAGCGATAACAAGCACGGATTTTTTCGCAGTTGGCATAACTCCATCACCTCACTGTCAAAGGGCCTGGGGGAGGTTCTCACTCTCCGTGGGTCCTCGGGGAGACAGTCCTGCCCCAGGTGCACAGGGGCCGACAGAAGTGGGCTCAGGGAGGGACCACCTGGGGAGGGACCACGTCTGCACGGCTGAGTCAGCGTCAGAGATGGAGGAAAAGTGGGCTGGGCACCTGGGCAGGGACACCGAGTGCAGGAAGAGCAGGGACATGGGGCGGGGCAGCTGCACGCGGTGCCTGGGAGGCATCGCAGGAGCCTCTCCCTGGGAGAATCAGCGCCTGGGCTTCCTTCCAGCTGCTTCACTCTCAGGGGGCCCCTGCGGGTAGGGAATGGTGTGGAAACACGGGGTTTCCCGGTCAGGACAGGAGGGAACGTGGGTTTGACTCCATCCCAGCCCAGCCCAGCCCAGCCCAGCCCGGGGAGGTCGTGCACCTGCCCAAAGTGGAGGCTGCAGCCTTCCTTCTTCAGGTAAGGGAAGGGGACGGTGTCACATGACAGCTGGCATGTGACAATGTCCCCTTCCCTCACCTGTCCACAGGTCCCTTCTCACGCTCCCTTTCCCACGGAACACGCCCCCTCCCCAGCCCCACACCCTCTCCCCTTTGCACGCCCGCGCACCCCCTCACCTTCACGCACGTGACCGCCCCCACCTCCCTACCCCCTCCTCCCACTCAGCGCCCGGCCCCCCCTGCGCTCAGCCTCCAGCACTCCGCACCCGCACCTTGCACACGCACCCGCACCTTGCACACGCCAGCTCCTCCCTGCAACGGCTCACCCTTGCACACCTACACACCCGCGCTCCCCGGCTGGGCACGCACCCGCTCTGTCCCGTCCCGCGCACCGCCCCGCGCGCCGGCCTCCCGCCTCCGGGCGCCGCGCCCCCGCCCGCCTCCCCGCGGGGCCCTCCCGCGCACTGTGTCTGCCCGGGTCTCCCCATCCCTCACGGACCCCCGGCCCCGCCCCCGCCCCCGCCTCAGAGCCCCGCCCCTGCCCCTAAGCCCCGCCCCGGCCCGGAGCCCCGCCCCCGGGCGGGCAGGGGGCGGCGCGGGGGCGGGGCCGCGGCGCGGGCGGCGCAGGTGCCGGGCCGGGAGCGAGCGGCGGCGGCGGCGGCGGCACCATGGGCCGGGCCCGGCGCTTCCAGTGGCCGCTGCTGCTGCTGTGGGCGGCCGCGGCTGCGCCAGGTAGGTGGGGGCCGGGGCGGCGGGCCGGGCCGGGGCGGCGGGGAGCGCGGCGCGCGGGCGTCCGGGCCGCCGCGGGGCCGCAGAGGCCGAACAATGCGCGCGGGGCCGGCCGGGCCCCCTCCCCGGACAAAGCGCAGCGGCGCGGGGTCGGCGCGGGAGCCGCGGCGGGGGAGGGGGCGCGGGCCCGGCCGCCGTGCCGCAGCCCCCCGCCCCGCACAGGCCCCGAGCCCGGCGGGGACAAAGGGACCGAGACCCCCACCACCGCCAGCACCCCCGCCCAGCCCGCCTTCCCCGGCCGGTCCCGCTGTCCTTCTGTCCGCGCTCTGCGCCCCTCCGTCCGCCTGTGTCTGAGTCCTCAGGCTCCCTCCTGGTCCCTCCACTCTTGTCCTCTGCCCCCGTCCCTCAGCCCCGAAGTCCTGCCCCTCTCCTTCCTCCTCGCCTCCCTCTCCCCCGCCCTCTCCCCTCTTTGTCCCCCGCCTCTGTCCCTGGGTCTCTGCTCCTTTTTAGTGGGTCACTCTGTCCCCCGTCATCCTCCCCAGTCCCCCTTCTCTGCCCCTCTGTATTCCTGCTCTCCCTCTCTGACCCTGTCTTGTTGTCACCCTTGTTTCTCTCTCTGTCCCCCATCTGTCCCATCCCCTTGTTCCTCTGTCCCCTGTCTTTCTGTCATTTCTGTTTCTCCAGCCCCCTCTGTCACCTCTCCCTCTCATTCCTCCCCCCCTCCCCCGTCCCCGTCCCCTCTGTCTGTCCCACGGTCTCTCTGTCCCCTGCCTCTCTGCCGCCTCCCCTCTCCACCCTTACAACCTCCATCCTGGGATCCCCGTTCCCATCCTCCACTCCTCCCTCCACCTCTCTCTCTCTCTCTCTCTCTCCCCAGCACTATGTGCCCCTGGGGAGGAACTGAGTCAGGCAGGGCATCCCGAAAGGCCCCGGAGATGTGGGGGGAGGATTGTGTGGTGAACTCCGCATGTGGGCACACACGTGGATTCAGCAAATTCCTCCCAATGGCTGCCCCTCCCCGCCCGGTCACACACCCCGGCTGCTCCCCTCCAGAGCAGCCAGAGAGCCTCCCCACATAGCTCTCACACCCGGGGAGAGAGGCTGGGGACCTCCAACATAGCGTGACCCTGAGACTGGGGACAAGGTCAGGAAATGTCACCCACACAGCCTTCGCACTGTGTGCCTCGAACTTGTCACAGGCCACCTCCTCCCCGGTGGGCAGAGCGGGTCTCGGGAGGAAGGGAGGGTCAAGAGGTGGCTGGCGGAAGCGGGAGGGGTAGAGGTTCCGTGAGGTTTGGGAGAGGAGTGGGACCAGGTGGCGCCGGGCTGGGGGCCTGGGTGTGGATTCTGGCGTGCGCCGTTTGCCACAGTCACCGAGGACGCGGACCTTCCTCTCTCCAGGGCTTGGTTTTTCTCTCTCTGCAAAGTAGAGAATGTGGGACCCGGTGATCTGACAGGGGAGGAATTCCACCTCGAACCCCAGACAAGGTGAGGGGCCAGGCTGGCCTCCGGCCGCCCACCTCGCGTTCTCCTCTGGTCTCCGCCATCGCTCCTGGACGCGCATCCTCACCTCCTTCCTTTGCCACAGACACGCTGCCATTTCCCCGATGCGTGCTCTGGTACCTCAGCTACATCTCCTTCCAGTGTTATTTTTCTTCTTCTTCTTTTTTTTAGGCCCTAAAATCCAGCCTCCTAGAATCCTAGCACCAATGAATCCAGCAAACAAAAACCCTGGGGGCAGTCTGTAAGATGGCACCCCGCTGGGATTCTAGAGCCCCAGGATCTCTAAAAGTCTTGACACCTTTAACATTCTGGAACCTCGATGGCATCAGCATGCTGGCCCTGTGGCATCTGGCACATTCTGCAATCTTGGCCCCTCGGAGAGCCCGGGTCCTGGCACCTCTGCCTTCTAGAATCTTGACAGCGTAGACCTTAGGACCAGAAGATGGCCTCAGAGGCCACCTACTCACTGCGAGAATCTCTCACCCAGCACTTCCGGGAGGCAGGCAGCCTTACTGGTTTTTCCCTCCTTTAAAACCTCCGCATCCTGGTACTCTAATCCCTTCTGTAAACTTTCGCTAAATCCTGGGGCTTAACAAGTCGGGAGAGAAGAAGCACTGGCCTGGGAGCCGGGAGAGAAGAAGCACTGGCCTGGGAGCCGAGGCCCGGGCCCCTCTGGGGTGGTTCTGTATCCTCCCCGTCCCTCCCCGAGCCTCGCCTTCCCCGCCTGTGAAGCACAGGGTGAGGGAGCTGCTGGGGTGCGTGATCTCAGAGGGCCCTGCCCGCGCTCCTTTCCATTGGAGGCTTCTGAGCGGCTCTGGCCACTAGGTTTCAGGGTGTGTGCCTGGTGCCCTCTCCATCACCTCCTTCCTCTCTCACCTTGCCCAGCCGACAGCGGTGGGGAGGGGAGATGGCGTCCATTCGTGTCCTTTCAAAGACATATTCTCTCTTTTCCTGGCTCGCTCGTCTGCCGCGGAGAGCAGGCAGATGCTGAGATTGATGCCAAAAGAAAAAAGGGTCCAGGGTGGGAGGTGAGAAAGAGGATGGATGGGTAGTCTGTCTAGAGACGCACAGGCCAGAGCTTGGAGCAAACAGACACCCAGATACAGAGAAAAGAGAGAGGCTGTCAGAGCTGGGGGGCCGGAGGGTGGGGTCAGGGGTGGGGGGGGAGATTGTTGATTCCAAATAGTGTTTCCCTCCTAAGTGACTCACTTTTCCCTTCTAGAGTTCTGCCCCACTGTTCTGAGGACAGGGGGGCTTGCCCCAGTGTGAGTCAGCCCCGGGGACAGGTCCCAGGAAGTTTCTGTCACTGACCCCCACCCACCCATGAGCTGGGTGCCCGAGTCCCCGTCGCTGGGGTCAGATTCTGCAAAGGATTCCAAGACCTTAGATGCAGCAGCGGGGCCGGCCGGGGCCTGGGTGGGTTAATGGCGTGCGAGCCAGGCCTGTCCCCATCGTGGGGAGCACAAAGACAGCTTTCTCTCTCGGGGTGGGGTGGGGAGGCGTGGAGACAGCCAGACTCGCCAGCACCCAATGGCGTGTGGCACCAGGACCCAAGCACCCACTGGTTTCTGCCCCTGCAGACCCCAGGCTGCTGGGGCTTCTGGGAACCGGGCACCTCGGCTCCTCCGCAGGCACCCGGGAGGGCACGAGGGCAGCGGCAGAGCCAGGCACCCCTGGGAGGGGGTGAATGGTGGCCCCTGGGGGTGGCGGCGAGGACAGGGAGCCCTCAGTTGCAGGCTCGCACCCTTCCTGGATGGAGCAGGAATTCCTCCGCTGACCTCCCCCCCCACACACTCAGGGGGAACTCCAGAGGCTTCCCCCACCCCCTGGGCCTGAGCCTGGAATCCAGGGTGTTCTGAATATTCCAGCAATGTGGGGGCCACAGGGCAGACTTTGTGTGTGAGGCTCCTGACTCACCCTGAGGCCCCCCATCTGATGCTTGGTTTCCAGAGAAGAGGGGGATAGAGGGCTGGGGAGGCAGGACTGTGGCTCTCGGGACTGAGGACTGTGCATCCAGAGTCAGAAGTTTCCAAGAGAGGAGCAGGGTGGGGGCCGGACCCCTGGGTCTGAGGGAGGAGAGGCTGGAGCCTGGACTCCTGGGTCTGAGGGAGGAGGGCTGGGGGCCTGGACCCCTGGGTCTGAGGGAGGAGGGCTGGGGGCCTGGACTCCTGGGTCTGAGGGAGGAGGGTGGGGGCCTGGACTCCTGGGTCTGAGGGAGGAGGGGCTGGGGGCCTGGACTCCTGGGTCTGAGGGAGGAGGGCTGGGGGCCTGGACCCCTGGGTGTGAGGGAGGAGGGGCTGGGGGCCTGGACTCCTGGGTCTGAGGAAGGAGGGTGGGGGCCTGGATTCCAGGGTCTGAGGGAGGAGGGTGGGGGCCTGGACTCCTGGGTCTGAGGGAGAAAGGGCTGGGGCCTGGACTCCTGGGTCTGAGGGAGGAGGGACTGGGGGCTTGGACTCCTGACTCTGAGGGAGGTGGGGGCTGGGGCTGGACTGGGGTCTGAGGGAGGAGGGTTCCGAGAAAGAAGGGCTGGGGGTCCATACTCCTAGGTCTTGGAGGAGGAGGAGGGGCTGGGACCCTGATGCCTGGGTCCTGCGAATACAGGCGCCTTCACAAGGCTGAGCTGAGGAAGAATTGATGCTTTGTGCAAGGATGCTCGGACTCCGCCATTGGTGGGGGGTGGAGGGGGTGTTCAGGCAGGACGCAGGGACGTACCACCTCCCCAGGGGAGGAAGCGGGAGAAGAAGGCAGGATGCCACAAACCTCCCGGGGAGCGGATACGCGGGGTGGCTGTGACCTTCTGGAGCCGTGACCTTGAGACTCCCTTGGGTATTCGCTGACTCAGGACCCAGGAAGTGCTCCCCCACCCCACGGAGTTTCCGTGGAAACATCCACCAGCTGTGTCCTCGGGACCCCTGGCTCCCAGGCCCGACGGAGGAGGGGGCTGGAGGCCCGGAGTCCTGGGTTTGAGAGAGGAGAGGCTGGGGGCTGGGGACCTCTGGGATTGAGGGAGGAGGATGCTGAGACTCAGGCTCCTTCCTGGTCCTGATGGAGGAGGGTGCTGGGAGCCCGGAGGAGCCGGGGAGAGGAGGCGGTTGGGGCTGTTTTCCTGGGTCCGAGGGAGCAGGGTGCTGGATTCTGGGTCTCTCTACATGTCACCTGCTCGGCCAGCCGCTCTTTCCCAAACCCTCCCGTCTCTTTTCCAGGCACCATCCCCATGACAACTCCGGGCTGTCAACACCGTTTAAAGGGCCAGCGCCCCAGGCCCCAAAGCTCAACCCCTCTCTGACCAACCCCAAAACAAAAGCTCCCAGGCCATTAATATTCCAGGCACAAACGCTGTTGGTTACTGAGTCTTCGGGAGGGGGAGGGAATAAGACAAAAAGCCCCACCCTCACCCCATGTGCACCCCAAGCAGAGGGCAGGACATAAACTTGGGGGGCTCTCCGGAGGCATTAAGTTTCTGCCACCAAATTACCTGGGGCCCCTGAGCCTCATTTCTC